TGAACTCGGGTCCTTGTGCTTGCGAGGCGGGCCACCGAGCCGCTGAGCTAAATCCCGGCCATCACTGTATTTTTGATCACACCTCGTAAGGCACTCGGGGACCAGGACTCCAGAGCCGCTGCGGGACGGTGCGCTGTGTCCGAGGCAGGGTGGCGGGGTTCCCGCAGGGAGCCTCCCCTGTCCGAACGCTCCGCCCCCTGCTCGCCCCAGTCTGACTCCAGAAGGGGCCGAGGCTTTGCCTGCCCCACCCAGGCGTCTCATCTTGGCCCCTCCCCATACAAGTTCCAGCAAAACACGGGCTGCGTCTCTCCTGCCTCCACTGTCTCTTGAGGTAATGGCTTTAGAAAGAAATTAAATGACATCTGGATGACAACAATCTGTAAGAACGTCTCAGGTGTGTGTGTGTGTGTGTGTGTCTGTGTCACACTGGCCTCAACTCATGGCGCTCCTCCTGCCTCAGCCTCCTGAGTGCTTCTTTGGTTTGTTTTTTTTCCTTCCCAAATTCAAGCCTACATTAAACACAAATCAGAAAACCCACGGAGATGTGTTCGAGCTGTTTTGCACTTACAGATTCAAGCTGCTTCCAGCAAGTCTCGATGTGCTGCTGTGCCTTCCGCCCGTCGTGGAAGTTCTGGACAGGGAAGACACACAGCGGTCAGGACGAGTCAGAGGAACACTGAAATTCCGGGACCCAGCCAAGGACGGGGCTCAGCGCGGTGTCTGCCTACCACAAGCCAGGCCCTGGCTCCCAACCCCAGCGCTATTAGGTAGATCAGCTGAGAAAGAAACAAACTGATAGGGAAGGTGGGATGGGTAGGGGAAGGGTAATAAGGGAAAAGAAAAAAAGTGTGAGAAAATGAAAAGACGGAAATAAAGTGTTTGTAGATGGGGAGGGGAGGAGAGGAGGGGGTGAAGGGAGGGCAGGGGTAAGGGGAAAAAATGAGAATCAAGACCTGTCATGTAAAGGTACAGGATCCCAACAATAAATGTAACTGTACTGTATCCCTAAAATGTACCAATAAACTCAATTAAAACTGAAAAAAAAAAAAAAGAAAGAAACAAACTGAGAGCTGGACATGGTGGCGCACACCTATAACCCCTGCCTTTGGGAGGCTGAGGCAGGAGGATCGCCACAAGTCTGAAGCCAGGCCAGACAGGATACATGGTGAGTTTAAGGACAGCCTGAACTACATAGAGACCCCATTTCAGAAAGAATAAATAATAAAGGAGGCAGCTGACTATGGACTAAAACGTCTACAAACTGTGAGCTAAAATAAACTTTTCCTCCTTTAAAAGAAAAAAAAAAAAAGAGGGTTGGGATTTAGTTCAATGGTGCCACTGCCCACCTCACAAGTATAAGGTCCTGAATTTGATCCTGGTACCAAAAAAAAAAAAAAAAAAAAAA